AAATCGCTAATTAATATTAAAAAATAAATAAAATAATAAATTAAAAAAATAAACAAATGAAAAAATTAAATTAAAGCAACTTACTGCTATAGTCACTAATTGCTAATTCCATAATTTCCAACCGATCCTGAAATATAGAAATTTAAAAATTAATATTATAATTTACACATATTTTAACACTTCTTCCTTTCATTTCGCCCTACCACCTTACCATTCCACAGCCTCCTATAGCCTCCCACTTATCCCACTGCCTCCATTGCCTCCACTGCCCTCCATTACTCCAATTTCCCCCACCTCACTACTCACTTAATTAGAAACGAACCCTAAAATAAATTAAAAATATATTAACAAACAGCGAAAATAAAACAAATATTTAAAAAAAAAATATTTAAAAAAAATATTTACTTACCGCAGCTGAAGTTGGTAAACTTGCTTTCTTCAGTTCTAAAGAAAGAAGTTTACAATGGTATATTAGCAAAAAAAGATTATCAATTTCTTAATTGATAATCAATTCAAGATCTGAATTCAGATCTGAATCTGAATTTGAATTTGACAGATCAGATTTGATCTGAATCTGAATTTGAATTAGATCCAAATCTGATAGATCTGATCTGAATCTGATCCGTCAGATTCAGATTAAATTCGGATCGATCTGAATCTGTAAGGAACACTACTTCTCATAATTTCTTGACATCATTAATTGTATATTTAATTAGCAAGTCCTGGTGAATTTTTTCAAGCTTTGACTTTTTCAAAACTTCAGATATAGTAATCTCTTCCCACTTCTCTTTAGAGAACAGTGACTTTTTAGAAGGGTCAACGTCATTAATGATATACGAATGTAAATATGATTTATATGTTAACTTTCGTGCATATTCATAAATGACTTCTTCTACTTTGTGATTACTCTTTAGTGCCCACATATGATGAGTGTCTAGGTCTAAATACGCTTTCTCAAATTTTTCTAAATTGGAAAGGAATACTTCAGATTCATTCCTGATTGACATAATTTTTGCAAACTAATATAATCAGTTATTGATGTGAATTTGTTACTGTAAATAGAATTGAATTAAAAATACACTTACAACAATGTTAGAGGAATTTTCTATTTACTATACCATTCTAAAATTAGACAACCTTTTTTTATTATAAGGTTGTTTAATTTCGGGTACTTTTAAAAATAAAAAATTTAACTGAATTTAAAAAGAAATTTGACCTAATCGGTCATGAATTAGGAATGCTAATTTATTTGCAAGAAAGCCGTGCATTTAAATGTTAAAATTATGAAGATCGCTTGTGAAATATAATATAATATCACGATTAAATTTAATCACGCGTGATAATGATAAATCACGAGCTCGTTAATAAACCAGTTTAAAAATTTACACAAATGCCGTCTCAAAAAAAAGCAAAATCGTTTAAGTGTTATTAATAAAAAAATAGTTAAACAATGCCGCAATTCATATGCTGTTGAGCAAAAGAGACAAGTTGTCACTTATGCTAAAGAAAATGGAATAATTAAAGCAGCAAATACTTTTGAATTTGATAAAGGTATGGTTAGTCGCTGGGTCAAGTCAAAAGAAAAATGGGTAAATGAACCAAACCAAAATAGCAAATGAGTTGGCTCTGGTCAAAAATGTTTTTACCCAGAAACTGAAAAAAAATTATATGATTGGATTATTGAGCAGAGAAAGCAGGGATTAGGTGTTTTATATACAATCGCGCAAGTTAAGATGCTGAATATTTTAAAAGAACCTGCTATGATAAATCTTTATGGAGATTTAACAAATGAATTTAAAACATCAAACCATTGGATGTTTGCATTTATGAAGAGATATAATCTTTCTCGACGCTGGCATACTAAAATTTCACAAAAGCTTCCATCACAAACTGACGAGTTATTAAAAAACTTTTATCAGTTTATCATCTGCCTTAAGACTGAAAAAATATTTGAGTTATCCAATATTCTTAATATAGATGAAACTCCTGTTTGGTTTGATATGGTAGGAAACTTTACTATTGATAATATAGGTGAAAAAACAATTCATATTTGCAAAACTGGCAATGAGAAAAATCGATTTACAGTTGTTTTGACATGTGCCGCAGGTATGAATTGTTTGACAATTGTTTTTTTTTAGCTTTTTTACTTATCTAATTTTTTATATTTTAGATGGAACAAAATTTCCACCAATTTGTATTTTTAAAAGAAAACGGTTATCTTGTGGTGAACATATTCCATCTGGTGTTATTATTTGGTTTCAGCAAAATGGATAGATGGATGTTATTTTAATGAAGAAATATGTAGATTTTATTAACGATAATCTAAGAATTAATAATGCTCCAACAATGATGGTGTATGATTCTTTCAGAGGATATCTTGAAGAATCAGTTAAAACCAAGTTTCGCGATATTGGTATTGATTTAGTGATTATTCCAGGTGGTTTAACTAGCATATGTCAACCACTTGATGTAACTATTAATAAGCCATTTAAAGACAATCTTCGTAAGGAATGGCATATTTGGATGGCAGAAGGTGATGCAGGAGTTACTACATCAGGAAACCTTTGTCGTGCCAAGTTATCTAATGTTTGTAGGATGGTAAAACGTGCTTGGGAAGGAATCCTAAATGAAATGATTATAGGGTCTTTTAAGACTTGTAAAATTTCAACTATTGATAAATCGGACGATAATATTACTGAAAGTGAAGATTCTGGTGATAATATCATTGATTTTGATAATGATATTGATAGTGTTTATAATGATAGTGACATCGATAGTGATATAAATAAATAATGATATTAACGATATTGATGACGATGAATAAATGTAGATTTTAAAAAAACAGTAATAATATAATAGTTTATAATAAATAAAATAAATTTTACAGAAAATAATAAAAAATTAAATTTATTAAGTGCATTTAACATTTTATTAATATTTTTTATTATATTTTATTATAGAAATTTAAAGATTGCTTATTTTCAGATCTATATTAATTTGTTAGTTGCTTATTTTCGGGGTTGTTTAATTTCAGAACGGTACAGTATTCATCTTGTGTTCTGTCATCTCTTGTTTGACGTTGCTTCTTTGTTATTTGTATCTCATTGTAATCAACATGTTGTCTTTTTCTTAAACTATATTTGCAGCTTGTAGCTGGCTTATCCTAGATAATATATCAATAAATTCGAAATTAATTGGAATTTTACATGGATGTAACAAATGCGTGATTGTTACCTTTTCTTGCAAATCTATTCCACCATTATCCCTAAAATTCTATAACATAAAAGAAAGATTTAAAGCATGATTAAAGATTCTTAAAAAAAGATATGTAGCTGATTTCTTAAGAATCAGTAGACATTAATCATAGCAAAATAGATACAGATGTATAACAAGATGTTCACATGGCTGGTCGCTCTTCCTCATAGCCCAGGCAATGGAAGAGAAGAAGAAGATGGTAATTCATTTGTCTTTTTGAGCTATGACAATATAAGAAAAACATTAATTAATTTTAATTTATACTATATAAATTCAGAGCTTCAACGATAGACATTAATATCATTATTTTACTTTTTTACGCCCTACTAAAATAACCTCAAATTCATCATCTTCCTCTGATCCATCGCTAAAAATACATGCAAAAGAAATTTCATGTCAAATTTGCAATTATAAAAGTAATACATAAAGAAAATCTACGAAGGAATATATTCGGATGAGGAATCTTACCGTGTAGTCGGAGTATACTCGGACGAGAAATCCAACTGTGTAAGAAATGCATCTTCGTTCGATGATCCAAATGTCAGAATTTTTGGGCTATTTTCTTCCTCAGATTGACTTAGCTCTCTTATCATTTTATTTGTTGTTATATTATAGCACGTATACAGCGCGTTTCGTTGTTTGTATCTTTTAATGCATGTTTTGCATAATCCAACTATTTAATGCAATAAAATTCAGTTCCTTGTTAAATAAGTTAAATCTTTATAGATGATAATTTACAAACCTTCTCAAGTTCGATTTTGTCATGATGTCGTCTTTTATCTATTATCCTCCAAAATCCATCGACAACTAAAGAAGATTTTTCACTCTATTGTCAGAGAAAACATAAAATAATTTAATTCTGAAACTACTGTGTTTATAAAGGACTAAGCATTATGGGCAATAACATGTAAGAGCACCTAAGGAAAGGCGTAGTCCACTATCACTAGTCAAGGCGTAGTCAGCCAGCTACTCGGGGTTGTCAATACGTCACGTTATTGTCTCAGTGATCAGAACATATTCTAGCTCTTAGATCAAGGACGCTGAGGGAAGGCGTAGTCCACTATCACTGACCAAGGCATAGTCAGTCAGCTACTCGGGGGGTGTCAATATGTCACGTTATTGTTTCGATAACCGAAACGTATTCTAGTCCTTGAACACATGAAATTGCTCAATCTCAATTGTTAAAAAGAACATATACTTAACTTTAAGAGTGGCTAAACAATTTCTTGCTTTTTCTGCATAACACTCATGATCAGATAATATTTCTAATGCTTTTTTGTAGTTCCTATGCTCCTCAAATTTGTTATATAAAAAATACCGTCTCGTGTTTGCCTGTATTGCAAAAAGTTTATTAACGACCAAGTCGAATTATACTTGAAGAACTCTTTTATTATTTTTTGCACTTGTGGTGACTCGCTTGTAGAGATTGATGTGGACATGTTCAAGTATTTATTAGATTAAATTAGGTTTACTTAAAGTAGTGCAATTCAGGATTTTTGGGAATTTTAATCTTTTATATCTATCTCGCGTCTGTCACGAATTTCAAAAGTCACGGGACGGACGATCATTTTGAATTGGGGGATCCTTAACCTGTACCCCTCTGAATTTGATTAATTTGATTGGTCTAAAAATTTGTTTCGCATGCAATAACCAGGTAACTTTAAATAATGGAGTTTGAGTTTAAACTTTAAATAATAATAGACACGACTTTAGCTTAATCGAACAAAATTTTCTTTAAAGAGAAGCAAGAGAAACATTTATAATTTTTTTTTTTTAACATGCGCTTTGCACAATCAAATGGGCTCTTTGCAATAGAAAACGGGTGCAACCGGTTTGACTCGTTTAAAACCGATTTTTACGGAACCGAATTGTACAACCGGTTTATATTTATTATGATAACTAGCGATAAGGTATTTGTTTAAATTTTATCATAAGTAATTGGAGCAGATGTATCATGTGCCACACAACCAGATTGTTTAATTAATGTTTTTTTGTATTTGCTCAATTTTATATAGTAACAAGTTTGTAAGATCAAGATCAGCATATTTAATGACTAATACAAATCAAATTTAAGGATTTCATATTTCAAAATCCTTCTAGCGTCGAAATTGTACAAAAAATATGTAAGATATAATTAGGGAAAATACGATATTCAAAATCACAAGTCGCGATGGTACAAAATTTCACTTGATGACATGAGATTAATAATCTTTTAATAAGAAAAATGTAGCATTAATTTGTACATCACTTTGTAATATATTATTTGGTTATTATTATAATGGGAAATCATAGCAAAGGGGTGGTGGTAAGCGACATGATTATATGGATAAAATCAGATCAAAAAAAGGCTAGAAACATTTTTTGATCATCGATCATCAAAATTAAGTTCCAAATACGACACATAAAAAATGGTTCTTTTAATTAAATCAAAGCAAAGGGGGTGGTGGTAAGCAACGTGATTTTATGGATAAAATCAGATCAAAAAAAGGCTAGAAACATTTTTTGATCATCGATCATCAAAATTAAGTTCCAAATACGACACATAAAAATGTTGAAAAAAAAACTAAATGAGATTGAAATAAGATGATTCACAGAAAAAAAATGTTTAAGAAAAATCACGCGACGATTTTTTTTTTATTATAAAAAAGGTGGTGGCCATGAAGAACACACAGAAAAACAACTAAAAACTATAAAATTAAAATTACTAAAATAATAACTCTCTAATACGAATTATCTTCAGAAACACTATGAACCGATTTATTTTTGTATTTGCTGCTATTTTATTTGCTGCCATGGTACCTAATGGTGAAGCGTACCCTACTACGAAAAGGTGCGGCGGCTGTGGCAATTGGGATCATCCCGATTCCGTTTCCGTAACCCCTACAACCGACGCGTAACCCACTATTTAAGTGTGGTTCAAAATACTGTCAAAATATCATCTATTGTATCAGTGTTAACTTCTTTTTTTTTTCATTTTGTCAAATAATTTTTTTTAATTCTATTTTTGCATTTGTAATTCAAGAACTAGCAACAAATAATTTTTTTTTGAATCTTCATAGTCGCTAATTTTTTGCGAATTTACGATTTATATAGTCCTATAGTAAAATTTACTATTAACGATTTTTTGTAATTCCGATATAAACATCAAAGTTTAAATTTTTCTTATAATTAATCTCTCACTAAATCGATGCATTTTCATAC